TTTTGCATAAGGAGAGGGCTTGTTTTGCTCCTATAACTAAAGGGCTGAATATTAAAAGCAGCATAATGGGAATTGTGAGCGCCTTTTCTCCTCTATTGTATTGAGTGAAACGGCATCTAGAATGAAAAGAAAAAAAAAGTTTTACTGTATAAAGTTTTTAAAGGCAGGGTATGTGATTTTTCAAAAACACTTTAGAAAACTGATTCGGGCCGAATCGCAAAACAAACTTGTAGCCAATCAGCAATAAGGGGCGTGTCTACTCGTGATGTGGAGGAGAGAGCTTTCAGTGCATGGGACGGACATTAACCGAGCCGAGCGACAAAGAGATAGAGATGGCGGATAAAAAACAAAAGAGGAAAACGTCTGCGGAAGGATAATGCAAGAAGTAGGACCCGTGTAAATATCGGATCAGCTTTCCAGCGCTGGAGAGAACTCAAGGAGGGGAGGCCTGCGATCGGACGCCGAGGTTGCTTTGTTTCTTCTCAATAGGTGAGTAACACCGTGTCTACAACAGCTAAAGTCTGCCTACACTGGACGCGATCAAACGACCGTTGAAAACCATTTGAAATTTGTGTCAGCACGTCATAAATAGAACCCGGCAGCAGTTTTCTGTCGGGGATTTGTTGCGCCGCGCCGCTCACGTCCGTAGACACGGTGTAATATTGGTTTTGCTTTGTTTCACAGAACTAATCGTTGCCTGGGTTGCGTACGTATGTGTGGGACGGAACTATCAAAATAGGGGCAAGACCCTTTTGGGGTAGGGGCGTGTTTGTTTTGGTGATTTCAAATATCAACATTGGCTACCAGAAATCACTTACTCTGCCTTTAAATGACTGTGATCTCATGTGAGTGACAGATTATTGTCCCGCCTCAGCACACAGCATCAGAAAAATTATGTTGTTTTAAGAAGGAGAGGAGGTTTTTGATTAAAGAGGACAAGGGCACATGAATAAAAAAAAATAATGATGTGGATGGATAATTTATAATAAACATTGCAATATTTTAAAGTAGTAATACTGAAAAATTAAGAATTGTCCGTTTTCATTTCATGGTGACTTTAGTAATATGCAACTTCAGCATTACCAGAAGGGTAATATAAATGACTCGAGGCAAGTTGGTACTAGAAAATAAAAGTGTCTGTCTACTTACTTCCATTATCCGAGTCCTCACTGGTGCTCGGGACACGGCTTCGCTTCATCGTCAGTTGGCGTGGCCTTCAAATGATGCAGAAATCTGCAGAAGTTGATCAAACATTAGCAGAACATTCCTGAAAACTGATCCTGCAGAGATGACTGCTGAGAGTGCTTTCCCGCAGCCAGCCGCAACTTTTTCTGATTCTGAGACTTTACAAGCCTAATTAAACTTGAAGGCTATGTTAAGATACTTTATATTAAACTTTATATAATTCTATTTGAGCTTAATATGCAGAATCAATTTATAAGTAATTTCGTACGCTATTTCCTCCAAAAAGTGGAGCTAGCCAACCGCTGCTGTTTGGTTGAGCACCGCAGCGTAACATCGGTGCAACCAATGCCGTGGGTTTGAGGGCGGGACTATCTGTTGAATCGACCAATGGCAGACTGAAATGTTCGTGAAACGTACAAACTAGGTTATTTTGCTCTAGATACTAAATATATGTCATGTGTAAATACCATTAATATTAAATTAAATTATATTCAATTAAAATTAGATTTTTAAACTATTCAATCCATCATGTTGCAAAATAGCAAACTGTCAAATTTCTGAACAATGCACACATGCCTGAAAAGTCATAAAACTTATGAATAAACAATCCTTGTATAATGCACTTTCCAGTTTTAAGCTTTATTAAACATTTTTGATCACATATGACATATCGAATATTTAACATGGGTAAAGCCGAACTATTTTTCATTAAGGAACAACAGAAATACAAACCACACGAGTTTGTATTTCTTAAATCGTGTTTTTATTAGCATTTATGCGACTAATTAAGCAAAGCAAACCCATTAAAATATATATATATTTTATATAAAATATATATATATATATATAGAAACATGGTGGCGACTATCATGTAAGGGGACCCGCGGTGTATGTAGATAGAAATTGCTCAATCTAAGGTAATAAAAACATAACGGTTAATTAAGTAAGGTCTTTATACACTTCTGCAAACATAGTTATGTATATTATATTGCATTTCTGTCAATAGATCGTTGTAAATATTAAATCATAAGGTAAAGATACATTTAAAGACGCAACTTCAAAATCTCACATCTGCTAATTTCAACTGCATTACAATAAAAACAAACCAATAATTCTGCCCAAACACAACGTCCAACACTCCATGTAAACAGCAGCTCACGCAGTGCAAATGCTCCGTGTGTGACGCTACTGAAAGACCACGCCCCTTGACGTCACATAGCTGTCCATTTCAATGCCAGTTCGAAATTGAAAACAAAATTATTATTATTATTTTTCCCACTGAATCCAAATTAATTTCACAGTGTTTTAATACAAAACCTCCGCTGCACTTTCGTATATTTAAACAACAACTTATAGTACCAAGAACATACAAGTATGTTGTTACATTCGTCGATCAGAAAACTAATTTTATCGCACATATACATACATTTAGCAGATTTAACTTCTAACGCAAACGCAAAGAAAAGTTTAATATTTCCCACCGTTATTTTCCCAACATCATGGCAGAGCTGAATCCGGACCAACCCAGACCGTGGCACGGGGAAAATTTTCTAACACCCTTCTGAAACATAACCGAAATTCATATATATATATACACTAAAACTGCAAAACATGGGCATGCGTTTGATGCCATTTGCTGGTTCAACACTAAAACTTTTAGGTTAAATAAGATCAGCCGCACACGGCCAGCAGCTACGCGATTGAAAGTAACTACCAAATTTCAAAGCAAACCACACCAGGAGCTTATAGAAATTACTACAGAGGCCAAATGCGTGCAAACATTTATTTAGGGCAGCGTCTGCTGCTGCTCAACTTAATATTTTGGCGCCATTTTAATGACGTGCTACATTTGCACCGGACCATCTGCATGAAGAGCTCGCGGAAATCCTGGAAAACACTTGTTCGTCCCTGCCTGTTAAACATGTATGCTACAGCACAGCAAGAAAATGTAGTGTACCTACATTAAAAGGTCTTGTTGATCCTGCGCTGGCGTTTCTATGTGGCGCTTGCTCAGAGTTTGAGTCCTCTCGTCTCCTCTCCTCCACCCCACACACACAAACACATGCAGGTTACGTATGCGCTGCTGTAATCCGCGTCCGCCTGCAGGGGGAGCTAGTGCTCACGCACAAACAGAGGATTAGCATCATGACTTCCATTTCAGCGATTTCATAATATCCACATCTGTTTTGGAGATGATGACAGGGATTTTTGGAAATTTCAGGTTTAAACCTACTCCTTATTTAATATTATGAATCAATAGGAAACCTCTGTAAATATAGAAAGATTTATTGTTATGTCATCACTACTAATCAAAAGTAGGTTCAAATATGTGACCCTGGACCACAAAACCAGTCATAAGAGTCAAATTTTTATTTATTTATTGAGACATATACATCATCTGAAAGCTGAATAAATAAGGTTTCCATTAATGTATGGTTTGTTAGGATAGGACAATATTTGGCCGAGATACAACTATTTGAAAATCTGTAATCTGAGGGCGCACAAATTTTTTTTTTTGTTTTTTTTGAGAAAATCGCATTTAAGCGCAGTTCTTAGCAATGCATATTACTAAAACCAGTCATAAGGGTCAATTTTTTGAAATTGAGATTTATACATCATCTGAAAGCATTGATGTATGGCTTGTTAGGATAGGACAATATTTGGTCGAGATACAACTATTTGAAAATCTGTAATCTGAGGGCGCACAAATTTTTTTTGTTGTTTTTTTTGAGAAAATCGCATTTAAGCGCAGTTCTTAGCAGTGCATATTACTAATCAGAAATTACGTTTTGATATATTTACGGTAGGAAATTTACAAAATATCTTTATGGAACATGATCTTTACTTAATATCTGAATGATTTTTGGCATAAAAGAAAATTTGATAATTTTTACCCCATACAAATGTATTGTTGGCTATTGTTACAAATATACCCGTGCTACTTATGACTGGTTTTGTGGTCCAGGGTCACATATTTAATATTTTAAACATCAGTCCAGTTGCAAGAGTAACTGAACCTTTTGGGAAAGGTACATAATACAAAAGCTGCAAATCACATGGGATCAATGCACAACAAAATACTTGGGTCATTGTTTCCTTTTATTAGATTTTTTTTTTCTCGGTGGACAAGTATAAATGTGAGGCACAAGATCAAGGGTGGTGCAAGGTTTTCACTAGAAAAAAATACACAATACATTAAAAAAAAATCCAAAATGCATTCTTTTTTTCAGTAGAAGGATGGTAAATTAATTGTATTAGGACTAAAATCATGTTGTTACAATTAAATCGAACGAGGCCAGGAATTGATATTTAGATAGACTAGACTAGGGTGACCATACGTGCCATTTTCCAAGGACGCGTCCTGGCCAGGATTTGTTTTGGCTTTGTTTTCCTGTTTTCATGCTTGCTGAAGGTAATGATCGAAAAGTAGTTTGACCAATAACATGCAAGCATTGTACATAATGGACCAATCATGGCGTGTGAGAAGGTGGGATCTACGGTCAAAGCGACGCAATTACGCGTACATATTAGGTGTGTTCGACTTAAAAACAGCACGGCTCAGACCGATCAGTGTTTGACATCAAAGTACCTCGAGAGCGTTTCGAAAGCATAACCGTCTGTATGGTACTTTGATGTCACACACCGATCGGTCTGCACACACAAACAAAGTCAAAACCTAGATATTTTAGGCAATATAGAAATCCTGGCCAGGACGCGTACTGGGAAAATGGCACGTATGGTCACCCTAGACTAGACTATCTTTAGTTAAAAATCAACTAATGCTGTTTTATTTTTTGACTGTGTTAGTTATAATAACCACTAGGGGTCACACTTAACCATGTGTCAACACCACAGTGCATACTGCATAGATACACAAGACGGGATAGAGGGAGGAGCTTATTTTGACACATCACTGGCCAATCCAAAACAGCTCCTCATCCCACCCCTTCTCAGACTACATCTGGTAGGCCTCGGGAGTCAAGTTCACAAATAACTAAACCTAATTGGTACTCAAACTGTCTTTTGAAGGAATCATAAGGATCACTCTGTGCTCACTCTGTGTTGGAAAAAAACTTTACAAAACAAGCCAAGGTGGAACAACAGATGCCTGACATGTGCATGAACATGATCACTGATGTGTCTGCAGATAAGGCAGAAGGGGTCTGATTACTGACGACGCTTACAATACACTTGTGCATTTTCATTTGAGAGCCAAAATAGCATCGTATGATTTTCCGGTCCGACAGACTTGCACGTCTCTGAATCCTGCGTCAGTGAGTAGACGTGTATAATGAGAGGGTGGATGCTCCTTCCCTTCTGTCTGGACCAGCATGTTCAGAGAAAACATCTGAACCATAGTCGGACCCCGGCGGTTCTCAAATAACAGTGCCTCTGCGATCAGAACGCCTCCACCTAGACAGAGATGGTTAATGCTTTGAAAACTATCATTTTAGGGCCACTTATTAATATTACTGACCAGGTAATGACATCTTTTCTCACCTGGATGACATGCTGTATGAATCTTCTTCAGTAGTTTGAGATTTTTGTCCTCCTTCCAGTCATGAATGATCCGGGCCAGAATGTATAAATCTGCAGGAGGGATTTCTCCTTCAAAAAAATCCCCTACAAATACAGAACAACATATACCTAATTGTTTTATAGATGAGAAATGCCATACTAGAGTTATGAATTTTTTATTTAGTTTTTATCTTATTTAGTTTAGTTTTCACATCATCAACACTGCCGTTGAAAAGTTTGGGGTTGGTAAGATTTTTTTTTAAAGACTCTTATGCTCACCAAGGCTGCATTTATTTGATCAAAAAAATATAGTAAAACAGTGATATTTTGAAATATTATTACAATTTAAAATAAAATTTATATTTTAATATATTTTAAAATGTCATTTATTCCTGTAATGGCAAAGCTGAATTTTTAGTAGCCATTACTCCAGTCTTTAGTTTCACATGATCCTGTGTGAGTTAGGATATAAATAAGTTGTAATGAGTATAAATGTTATACATAAAAATCTATTGTAACAATGTCACTTTTAATCAAATTAATGCATACTTGCTGAATACAATTTTCTTTTGAAAAACAACTAATAAAAACTTACTGTCCCTAAACATTTGAATGTTATGTAGTATTTTATTGTATTTTTTTTTTGTGTGTGTTTTCTAGATTTTTTTAATTTTTTTTAATTTTCTTAGTTAATGTGCTAACTGGTATAATTTAAAAACGGCATTGAATTTATCAGGACAGTGTTATTGCCATCAAGTGTTTAATGTGTCCATGTTTAATGCAGATGGTTTTATGATATATTATATAAGAAACTAAAACATTAATCTGAGGCCATTTCTGAATATTTTAGTTTTTATTTATATTTTTGTTACGAAAAATGTTTTTTATTAAGTTTCTATTTCAGTTTTCATTAACTATATTAACACAACGCACTTAAAATGTACTGTGGTCTGGGCAGCCATTAGATTGATTGTTGTTTTTGACAAGTTTAGAAGGACAGAGGATCTGTCAAATGCGAACCATTAACAATGTTACAATGCGTCATTACGCACCCTCTTGAAAACAGATGGTGTCATCTTGCTGGGCGAAATGCCGCTGAGCAGTCTGGACCACAGCCGGGAGATCCAGAACCGTGACAGTGGAGGAAGGATACTCTTTAGCCAGCTCTCGCGCTAATGCACCAGAGCAGCCTGCAAAGCATCTCAAAATTACATGACTTGCAAATCTACTGCTTCTTGCATAATTTATAAAAAATATTTTTTTCTACAATTGTGAGCTTTTTATTTTTTAGCTCAAATAACTGTCATAAATAAGCAAACAGTCAAAACAACATTTATACTCACCTCCCAGATCTATGACGGTCTTGAAGCTAGAAAGATCAAATGCTGTCACTATGTCATGACCATCAATGACCCATGTAGAGTTCATCAGACCCATGAACTTCAGCATCTCCTCTTCTGACCTGAAACAAAACATTGGCACCGGTGTCAGCAGATGGATTTGAGTTTGAATGGTGTATGGTCACTTTTGATCCATTTAAAGGGGTGGTTCACTGTTTTTTTTTTCTAGGCTTGATTGTGTTTATGGGGTGCAGTCTAACATGTGTTAATGCTTCGTTTTTTAAAAATGTATTATAAATGTATATTTTTCACATAATTTACCTTTATTCCACACCGCTCTGTCCCTTCTCTGAGAAACGCGTTGATCATTTCCTGCTTTTATGAAGCCCCGCCCTCAGAAATAGGCGATAGGCTCTGATTGGTTAGCTAGCCCAGTGTGTTGTGATTGGCTAAACCACAGTTTGAGCTCAATTGAGAGGCTATTATTGAAGAGGATCGTGCAGAACCTGTGCAAGCACGGCTTTTAATGCTAGGCCTAAGTTTTTTGTTTGTTGTTGTCTCATACTTTTAGATACGCTGTTATTTGTAAATGCTACTGATTATGTTAACTTTTAATGTACGGATTTATCCTGATTAAAGCTTTAATACAGTACGGCAACTGCACGCACATCCATGTTTCTGCTCATATATGAATAGATTTTTACGTGCACCTCTAGTTTTCTCTTCCTCTTCTCTAAACCAGCGCAGCATGGCCTCGCCCCCTTTGCTGCCTTTTCCCGAGGGCGGGGTTTATCTGGGTTTGTTACATCACGAACCCGGGAAGTAACTTGTTGTAGTCCCTACCAGCCGTTTTTGTAGGCATTAAACTGCCAGAATTTTAAAAGATGATATCTCCGTTTGCATTGAACTTTCAGCTTCGTAACTTTGCAGATATTGTTTATGCTCAAACAGCAACATAACACACTAACTAACGTTAAAAAAGTGAAATCGCAATCAACCACCCCTTTAATGTGTCTTTGCTGAATAAAAGTATTAATTCCTTTACTATACAAATCTGGAAAACAATACAAAGATTTTGATAACTGATATCTGTGACTGAGTAGAATTTTTGGACTAATACTACATACACTACATTTCTCCAGGAGAAACCCACTGGTATAAATGTATTATAAATGACATCAGCACAGATTTTTGGTAAAAAAAAAAAAAAGGATCTTTTCCACATGGATTCAGATGAAAGTTAGGGTAAAAAAACATAATACTGACACATACTACTTCTCTGATAACATATGAACTGACTTTAAACAGAAGCACAATCTTAAAAAGTAAAAACATTATGGGTATAAAATTAAATGTAATAGAATTATGGGTAAAATGAATACAAAATAAAAATGATAAAAACGGAATACACATCTCCACATAACTCCCATGCACCCAAATTACTAGAGCGTGAGATGCGTTCACACACACACACACACACACACTCTCACACCATCACAAAAACCCCAATGATTTCAAAACATACATACAATAACACAAGTCATTCTTTCACATACACACATAATAGTCGGCTTATATATAGCACACACACACACCACCCCTCCAGACGTGGGAACAGCCTGTCATAAAGCCTCAAATTTGTATTGGTTTAAAGTCCATGACCTAGAATTACACTGCACCAGAAGATAAGCGCTTAAGACTGCATCACTGGAGTCAAAGAAAGGCCTTTTAATCTAGTGACGTCTAGGGACAACAATAACATTCACCCAGTCGGTACTGCTAATATTATATAAAACTGATCACACAAACCTGTATATGGCAGAAAAGATCTCTTCAGATGGGAGGCCAAAAGTTTTCTCATTCTGGTTCTTTCCTTCCCTGAAAGGTTTCAGATATTTTGATTATACCATTTTTCTTACTCAATAAAACACAAATCCTGATGTATCTAAAAATCACTACAATGAAACATTTGTCACAGAAAAAGGATTTTAAAGTGGCCAGGGATCAAGTGTTTCTCAGTTGTTAATGGATGATAAAAACGGCGATGCCTACCTAACAGCATCTACCAGATTGTTCCAGAGTGGGTAGATGGTCTGAGAGTTATAAATGATCAAATCATGTAGAGATTTGGGGCTGGTCTTGGCCAGGTATAGATTAGCAACATCTGTACTGCTGTAAAAAGCTATGAGAGAAGACGAGTAAAAGTTTGGAGACTTGGAGGATATTTTAATAATAATCTAGACACAAGAGATGGATGATTTTATGAACAAACAGATACTTACATTTATCACCTTTACATAATAGAGCAATCAAGGTAACTTCCAGCTATTTGTGGAGGAATATAAAATAGTTAAGCAGCTCACCTGTTCCCTGTACCACTTCCACATCCACAATCTCAATGGCAACCAAAACATCCAGTAAACGCTCTATACCATCTTCACTGGTGCCAAGCTTCTGCGCCACTTCAACTGCGCTCATGGGCTTTTGGGACTGGAGGAGGAGGTCAAACACCCCTAACTCACAAGCTGAAAATATTGCCTGGAGGAGAGCAGTGATTCAGGATATTAAAAGAAAAAATGTCAGTGAGAACTTATGTTATTTACAGTATGTAAATAACTACATTACATCAAATTACATGTCATTTCTTTTAAAGGGTTACATGCACTTAATGCAACTTGTAACTGAATAAATATGCTTGCTTTTCTAACTGAAGCCATTTTCACAAAAATAATGTCTTGTTTTCCTTCTTGTTAGGATATTTTAATTAGACAACAAGACAAAACTTTTTTACTGATGTACGCTATACAGCCACTATATTTCTCCAGGAAAAACCCAAAGGTAAAGTAATATTGTGTAATATTATTACAGTTAAAAAATGTTTTCTGTTTTTAGATACTGTTATTCTGTGATGGCAAAGCTGGATTTTCAGCATCATTACTCCGGCCTTCAGTGTCACATGATCCTTCAGAAATCATTCTAATATGCTGATTTGGTGCTCAATAAACACTTCTTATTATCAATGTTGAAAACAGCTTAATATATAATATTTAATACAGCTGAGGAAATGGTCATACATTGTTTTAGGATTCTTTGACAAATAGAAAATTAAAAAGAACAGTATTTATTTTAAATAGAAATCTTTTATAACATCATCCATTTCTTTACTGTCGCATTTGACCAATTTAATGCATCCTTGCTGAATAAAAGTATCTTTGTTTCTTTAAATCTGGAAATCAAGACAAATATCTGTTATCTGTGACTGAACAGGATTTTTGCAGTGTGATTTTTTTGGACTAAAACTACATTCAATATATTTCTCCAGGAGAAACCCTAAGTAAACGCTAGTATAAATTACATCAGCCCATGAACATGATTTTAGGTTAAAATTCATATTAATGTTCAAGTATACTGAAAGATATAAAGGTATAAAGGTACAAAGGAATGTAATATTTTAGATGATATGACTTTTGTTTTATAATTTATTCACAATTTTAATTACTTTTTTGCCTCCTGTGGTTTATAGTAAATTGACAGTGCAAAACTCTGTGCATAATAATTGTAAAATTATTCTTGTGAATTCTATTCTATTCTATTATCTAATTCAGTTCATGCAGAATCATTTCTGGGTATTCTGGGATAACAAAACTCCTGAGTCATCTCAGTGTTTGCCTCAGTGGCTTTTAATAAGTTATAGGCCTGTCCTGCCAGAGGCGAAATCAGCCCTGGTGGCCACAGAGGTAAAAAAGACAAAGGGGGGACATGCCACAAACAATAGATGTTCTCACATAAAACATTTACTCATAATCCAACAATAAATGTCACGTGTGGTAAACACATTATTAAAACGGTCTGCTAAAAATGCCTCAGGCGATTCCACATCAAAAAGGAAGTATCACAGAAGTACTGATTTATATCAATTGACTGATTGATATTCATGCACTCATTTTGATAAACACTCTATTATAGAGACGTTAAGGAATTCAGTACGAGTCTCTCATAAAACACAGACCTTGGAGATCCTGAATCCATTGAAATATTCCAAAAGCTTAAAAGGATAGTCCAGTTCACTCTGGGATAAATGCTCAGCCATGATGAGAAACGTCCCTCCTGTAAAAGTCAAGCGAATGTGAAATATCAAAGTAGTCAGTATAAGTTAGTGTTGGAAGATCCTAAATTTCTTGATATTACACTTTAACCACTTAGCCTGTGCAGTGCCTTTTCAAAGGGAAAAAAATCATATAGGCATATGCAGAAAATGCTATAAAACGTCTTATGTTCTGTTTTGCATTCTTTGCCTCAACTCTATTTATGCATTAAATAAAAATATGGACGATTGAGAAGACACAAAAGCTGAAGTCATCATCAGCTACTGGTCCAGACTTTCCCAAAAAGAACATTTTTAAACAATTCTGCATTTTATATTTACATTACCAGTTTGTATGCATTTTCCCTCTCAAATGAGGTTCATCTGAATCTTTCACACAGCCGGTCACAGTGAAACAATGTATTGTGCAACCAACCACAAAATCATTCAAGTAATCTTCCCACGAGAACATGTACAGATATGCACGATGATGATGCATTGACCACAGTGTTGTGAAAATAATACGAGTCGATCGCAGATATTTTGTATAAAGCAGCAAGATATCGACAAATGCAGTCTAAAACCTGCTCGCACAACTCTATGCTTAAGCACTGTAGTGTTTATAAGAAAACCAAACTTACCCAACAAAAACTGCCGGTTTGATATGCAATTCTGTTCTAGACAATTCTACTCCAAATTCGACTCTACTCTAACAGTCATCTCATGCAAAATAAAGCACCGTTCGCGAAATGTTCTACTAAATGTTCTATAGCGATGTCCGATTCCTGAACCCAGTTCACAGTTTGAACAATTCATTCACGATTGAATCGGTCAGAGCGGCTCCGGCTGGGCCATTTGACTGAAAACCAAAATACACATAAGATACATAAGTGCCTATATATGGCTTTACTGGAACGTTTTAGAGCATGTACAATGACACGCCGAACCGCCGATATATGTCACAAACGACGATGTGACGTGAAAGAATCACTGGAATTTTGAACCGGTCAGAACGAACCGTTGGAAAGAACTGATTCGCGGAATTGACTCGGACATCCCATCACTGCTACATACCTCTGTCAGAGAACCATTAGGGTTTCAGTGACATCTGGCGGTTAATGCCGAACGCTTTCAATCACTATGCTGTTAGTTTTGTATTTTTTGTTTAACGAAAAAATAAAGTCCTTAATAAAATCATCATCCAGAAAGTGATAATTTTTAGTGGAAAGACAACACTACTATAGCATTAGCAATGGCTATCAAAAATCTGAGATTGACCACAGCAAGTCCCTCTTATATATATGTATATACACAGTATCTCACAGAAGTGAGTACACCCCTCACATTTTTGTAAATATTTTATTATATCTTTTCATGTGACAACACTGAAGAAATGACACTTTGCTACAATGTAAAGTAGTGAGTGTACAGCTTGTATAACAGTGTACATTTGCTGTCCCCTCAAAATAACTCAACACACAGCCATTAATGTCTAAACCACTGGCCACAAAAGTGAGTACACCCCAAAGTGAAAATGTCCAAATTCAGTGCTGGAAAATAATGGTGGCCACACAAAATATTGACACTTTGGGCCCAATTTGGACATTTTCACTTAGGGGTGTACTCACTTTTGTGGCCAGCGGTTTAGACATTAATGGCTGTGTGTTGAGTTATTTTGAGGGGACAGCAAATTTACACTGTTATACATTGTTGTTACATTGTAGCAAAGTGTCATTTCTTCAGTGTTGTCACATGAAAAGATATAATTAAATATTTACAAAAATGTGAGGGGTGTACTCACTTCTGTGAGATACTGTATATAAAAACAAATAACAGACATTCATTTAAGACAGTCCAAAAAGTACTGCAAAAAGATAGTGCTACATTTAATGTAACAAACCGGGTGAGCTAAATTCCAGACTCATTTGTGAATATTTTTTTACTTGCACATTCCATTTTATTTGAATCGATTTCATCTTTTGTGAAACTCCTGCACATTTTGTGGATTATAATTTAGAATCAATTTATTTGGAATTATGCAACAAAACTATCTGTGCTGTGAAACTGTAAACTCACAACTGCAATGATTTGAAACAATGGTTTTGTTTCATTGCTGATTGTGTAAATTGGGATGCGAGATGCACACACAGTATTGATAAATTACCTTGAGTAAACTCTTTTCAGCTCTAACACGATTGTGTGACATTTCACACTGCTATATCATACTTGAAAATATATTTAAGTCTGCAAATCCATAAAAATGATCTGGACAAACTATTGCTATTACTCTGTGCTATTTTTGCATATGCACTCTCAGTAACTATAACTGGAACATGACAAATACCTCAACCAAGCACAAATTTCCTCCCCTATTCCTTCACACAAGCTAAATGCTTTACTATGAAAGTGCAAAATCTTTTAACAAGTCCAAAACTCCCAATAAATTTAGTGGTAGAATGGCACGATCCATTAAAGTACATTTAGTAAACAAATCAACCTAGTGTTTTCTCAACACTTTACATTTCAGTGTTTACCGTGTCAGCTGCCACTTTTATAGTTTTTTTTATTTGAAATAATGCCCTTTGTGAGAAACAAAGCCTATTTTGGCACTTAAGATGACACAGAGGGGCAGAGAGGATAACAGTAGTTATTAACCAAATGCATTTATTTCTGCAACAACACGTTCTCATCCTCCCCCCCGAGTGCACACGCACACACATCCTTGCAAACTCCATTTAAATACATGACGTGAGAGCCAGCATTACCTCACTGTTTGCTGCACATGCTTTAATAAAATGATACACATATTTACAGAATCCACAATTTTTGAATTGTGCCTCATCCCCCTCCCCTCAGCAAAGACAAAGTATTCTTCCAAACTCATAGTTCCCCTCTCCAGAAGAAAAACAAAATATAACACTTAAGGGTGGATTTGAAAATTACCCACAATTAAAAATAAATTCAGCAGAAAAAAACAAAACAAAAAAAAAAGAGGGGAAAAAGAGATGGAAACAGAGAAAGAGCAATGGATCTTTTGGCCAGTACAACACAGCAGTGCGTGGGGTTTAATAACAGCGCAGATATGGCAGTAACACTGAAATAGCTCATAAAGTCTATGTACAAGGTCACGATAATGGTGGTCGAGCCTCTCGTGTCGGATTCGCTCACAGACGCGAGCACACCTCGTCGTACGAACTGTGAGGAAATGGAGGGGAAAGATGCCTTGGCTTTCGAAAAACCTCCTAAGAGTATGTATTGTGGAAAGGGCAGAGCAGAACATGTTTTATCTTTGCGTTTTCTCATACCTGTCTCCTTCTACATCTCTCGACTGTTCTGTAGTAAATTAAATGGAAATAAGGCACAATAACTACGCTGACGGTTTCATTAACAGGGGAAGGGAGAGTTCTGTTGACCAATGAGTAGACAAGTTGATCCAATTAAACTACCATACTGATCTTCCCTTTGCATCCCAACCAGCTGTTCAGATTTACATAGTACAAATAAAACGACAGTTTTATGGCGAGAATGCTAACGGATACCCTCCCCCCACAAACATTTCCCATCCCGAATGTTTTACAATCGCATTGTGACAAAAATCGCTACACACTAGTGGTGCATACAATACAAAAATTGCTAAGAGCACCCACCCACCCCAGACCCTCCCAAGCTTTGGATTGATTGGCTGAAGGCAGACAATCTGGCTTTTGGATTGGTTACCATATCCACTCTACATTTACTTTGATTTAAAACGACAACATTCTCACAGTCGACGAATAAGCATGAGATTTAAATGCTTGAGAAGTGTTTGAGACGTGTGTTGTGGTACAATAATTACACACACAACAACAAAACTAACTTAAATGGAAACAAAAATAATTAAGAGAGACCCCAGTTGCGATTTTTAACCTGTTGTGTACTGAACTCCAGGCATCTGCCCCGCTCGATGTACGTGACCTTTGAGGTCATGAACGGTGAAGTCCACAAAGGAAATTTAAGTGAATAAAAATGTATGTGTATTCAGTGTTTCCTCCTTTCTCCTTTTTATTCATCTCTTCACATTGTCAGTCCAAGTCTGAACGCGCAAATGTGCAGGATGCTATAAAAGCCTCAGGTGCGCTCCACTTTCCATTGGACTGTAGGGTAAACGACGGAAGGTTTAGGGGTTTAGACTGTATGACTGACCATTTAGGGTGTAGGCCTGGTGGTTTATGGTATAGTGTTTGATGGTATAAATTGAGTGTTTAGGTGGGACAGGAAGACTGAGGGTCAAGGAGCTGGATTAAAGAGAAGGTATCAAGAACAGACAAGAAGAGTACAGGAAACTCTGACAGGCTATTGGTCTTTTTTGGTAGAAGAACAGTCAGAACAGCAGGGGGCTTTCAGACAGATGCGTTTATCTCTGTGGTGGAGCAGTAGTGGGAACATGGTACGATCGAGGTAAAGGGCAGATTCTGAGGGGTTTTCTTGCTGGGGTTTAACTATTCTGGATGGTGGCCTTCTCAGTCCTGGGCTTCAGCTGCTGTGGATGCTTCAGCAGATCATTCGTGTTTTTGATGATCCTTCATGTCCTCTTCATCTGTGTACTCAGACGGCTCATCTCCTGGCTTCAACAAACGGCCAACGTAGTCATATTTCTCTGAGAGAGAGGAGGAACAAGTGGAAAAAGAATTAAAACTATTTTCATATAAAATTGCATTTATGTTATTTCTTGTTCATGCATATTGTGTGCATATTTATCTTGTGCACAAATTTTGGAAGGACTCTTATTTGGACATTGAACTTTGGTAGTAACAACTAGGGAGAAGTAAGCATGAACCTGCTAGATTCTGTTGGTTGTAAAACATCTTGCTGCACAGACCATCTTTCTCCATCAGTGTTATTGTTAACTACAACTAAACTAAAACTATTAAAAATAATTTGTTATTTGAAATAAAGCATAAATAAAATATAAATATAAATATTAAAATGAAAAAAAAAAAAAAAAAAAAAAAAAAAAAATGCAGCTTTGGTAACTAATTGAAGTTTAAGTTAAAGTACTTACCTAAACCTAATAAAATTGAGCACATAAAATTACTCAAACTTAAATTAAAACAAAAAACTAAAAAAAAAAAAATATATAAAAAAATCTAAATATTATTACAATTATATTATACAAGTAAAACTGTTTCCTTTGACAGCCAGTAAAAAAAATATATATAAATATATATATTTTAGCAAATTTTATACTAAATGTTTATTCAATTATTTTTTGAGGGTTCTTATAAGGTGTTCACCATGAATTCACCTCTGGTAGCAACAACGCAAACAAGCAGAGTGAAAAAATAGTGTGCTTTATCACCAGAGTAACTTATAAGCAGCATTAATCTATTATATTACATGCCTGATTTTCCCCACAGGCGGTGACAGGGAAGTCAAGCTGTTTATCTCACATTTCCTCATCGCACACAGCAACACAAACAGATATGAGACTGTTTTACACTGAATCAACCAATCTAGATTAGTCAAGTATAAACCTTATTGTATATGGCTATAGAACAAGAGTCACTCTCCCCAACACACACACACACACACACACTCATACATACATACATATATAAGTACATTAAGGGGACCCCCTCATCTCATCCAAGAATCATTTGTGTGATTCATAAGTGACATTCGTTTTTGAGTGCAGCTATTGAAGACAATGCAATAAAAAGAAGTCTTTTCTTGACTTTGTTTCATGGTACCAACTACCCAGTCTTTTTATCTTATCTCATTTAACTGAGACCGTCTGACACATCCCCGCTGAATAATGGTGCAGTAAACACTGATATATGGCCATACATTTTTTATAGCTCTCCAGCTCTCTGATCTAGAGTGAACAGGACAATTCAAGAAAACGGTCACTCATCATCTAGAGAATTTGCCCAGTACCCCATTCCTACATCAGCTGTGTGATTACAGTAAATGTACAGATCAGCCCTAACCAGCACAACAGGAACAACATGCAGAGCTTGTGGACCAGGAGGAGTGAAAACTACCTACCTACCTAACATGCACAACTTTCCTACCTGCAATTACCCGAAAGGCCAATAAAACCTTTCAGACATGATTAGATTTTTGGGCAAATTATATGTTTTCTTTCTGAATTCACAGTGGAATTCTCCTGCTTACCCATGAACTGCATCTCCCATTCTCGAACGCTTTCCATCTGTACAGCATTCAGGTCTGAAAGATCATCGTACTCGTCTCGTAATGCATCCTTCTCCAGGCAGAATGTTGCCAAACCCCGAGAAGCATCACGTCCCGCAAAGATCCCGTAGGGGCCCTCTGGAACAACAGACATAACTGTGAGCATAAAGGTCAGCAAGACAAATTTAGGAACTTCTGCACATTACAGATACAATAACCAGAACTGAAAATGCAATACTGCCAGGGATTCATCAATTATTGTCTGATCTGAAATAAATTTGTGAAATTAAAATAACAACAACTACACATTAAACAAAAATATAATTAAGCTAATTAGCCCTCCTACGTTAAAATGTAAAAAAAAAAAATAATCACTTAATTATTGGACTGTCTGAAAATAAGTAAAATAGTAAAAAAGTAAAATAATTATTAATTAAGGTAAATTATGTCAAGTGTTTAAAATAACAGTACTTATGTATTATTCATAATGAATAATAAATAACAATTAATAATTACTACTAACAATAATTAGTATAAATTAGTACTATTATTTTTACTACTACTACTAGCAGTAGTAAGAGCCCAACTGAAATGCAATCAAAACAAAACTCTGCTATGAACCTAGTAAAAGAAAACAGTTGTAGAGTCAGTGGGTCAGACAATCCCAGACAAGCTGAAACCAAAGTGGATTGTCCTCTCAAAAACAACCAAACAGCTGAGATGAATGGAGCCGCTCACGCAAACCAGAGGAATGCAGGTAAACAAACAGGTACTCCAAAACAGCTGTGAGAGATTCTGTGAACAACACACTGCACCGAGTAAGGAAATTAATGTAAGGTGCCATTAAAATACACTATGGCTACGTCTACATTAATCCGGAAACATTTGAAAAATGCTCTCCTTCCACACTAGTGTTTTCCAAAAGTTTCTCATCCACACTGAAACATCAGAAAACGTTAAATTCGCCTTGCTGTGCATGTGTAAAACCTCATAAAAGCTCATATGATGATACAGACGGAACAGACATAAATGGCCCAATATTGATATTTATGCAGCTTTTATAAAAATGCCTTAGAAGAAAATGTTACATTGCATCCTGAGACAGTAGAATGGCACTGACATATTTTAAGATATGTCAGAGCAACATATTTTCAGTTGAGACAGCTCAAACATGCATTTTAGTCTGGGACTAGCTTTAAGCCTTGTCTGTGAAACCGGGGCAATACGTTTTCATGCAATTCTTCCTGTAGGATCGTTTTATTCACGAAAATCTCATCATTCACCTGACATGTCCAGGTCACGCTCACTCACCATTATATGTTTGATCTGAAATGCAACTGCTCTCATGTTTTGCCGCAGGACAGCAATATGTGAGTAAATTTTCTGTCATCTTTGCAGGACTGTAATATGAAGAGTGTACAAAAACGTGAATAGCACATAACAGACACAATAATACCCGTATAAACATAGATATCTATTGGTACAATATGCGTCACATGACTAAACATGTGATATTGTTTTCAAAACCCTCCGTTTTCACAGTCCACACTACAGTGTAAAAAATGGCGTTTTCAAATTTATCCACTTTGGAGAGTGTTTTCAAAAAGCTGTTTTTCCTGACAAAAATGCTGTGTTGGTGTGAACAGAAGGCCAAAATGGAGAGAAAAAGATGCGGTTTCAAACGAAAACGTATTAGTGTGGACAAAGCCTATACCGCACCAACAAGAACCAACTCCAGCTGTGCACAAACCGCTCAGGCCACACCTTTCCTCCCAAACCTGAAACGTGACAGATGAGCACGACAGACTGATGAACTTCAGTCCATAATCAAAACAAACAAATGAACTGATGGGATAAAATGAGAAGATAAGAGGACAGACACGTCTCTAATACTTGCTGCATTCAGAGTTTTACTTTATAACCTCTTGAACAGGAACTAGAATCCATGATTCATAAATAATATGACTGCCAAAAGCCTTCCAGATCAGGTCTGATGATGACTAGGCTGCTCTGGCATGTGTAGTTTCTTCTGTTCTCTTACTTGATAGAGAGACTGAGCTTTAGTCATTGTTTATTCATAACAGAAGGCAATAGAAGGGGCGATCAGAAAGCCATCTTTTGATACTTCTTATTTTGGTTTATCATCTGATCTCCATGTGCAAAAGCCAGTTAGCTCACAAACACATACTCATTTTTTCAGCGGTTGAGCAATAATAGTCTTAGAAGAAACAAGCAGGTCCAGAAAAACATTGACCAAAAAGAACAAGCTGCCCTATGGTCGAGTGATAAGACACCACGTCTGCCTACAAAGTACAAACCTATGCTATAGTCTCATCAGGTTATAAATGAATGCAGCAACAGGTAAATAAAGCTGATCTCATATTCTGTCTGGGTGGAATGGTGCAATATGCCACACAGAACTACAGGCATCTAAATGAATGACGAACTGGTCAGAGTCTGGTCTACTGCTGACACCACACCTTGAACGCCCCATGCTCCCCTATAAACGCCACAGATGGTCAGATAACATATCTCATATACAAATATAGCTGAGGGAGATGAGAGGCCCAATCAGAGGCTCTAGTTTGAACTGTGAATCAAAACTTGGTAAATGCAATCAACGGCTGTGATGATCCTGGTACAGTTTTATGTGCATTCTTGGTTTCACTTCTGACCTGGGTCTCCAAAAATAGACTCCAGACAGACAAAAGACTGCTGTTCTGGCTTCGAGAGCAAATATTTCAAGTATTCTGTGTAGCAAACAGCTGTTTTGCAAAGCCTGTAAACTGCCCTTAAAGTACAGGGGAAAGAAACAAGCGTTTCCCTGCAGGGGAGGGAGGAAGGAATGAGGCTCGGTGCTTGATTTCTTAACCAAGGCCACTGCTAAACTTAGCTGACCTAATATTCATCATAGCAAATCAAGCTGTTAGCGTTACATGTTTAAAATAAGCATATTGATTATTGCATGGTACAGCGCCTCTACCTGTACAGTGCATACCTGATGGGTGTGCCAGCACATGGCTCTCACCCCATATGTCCACGTCACTCACACATGGTTCTCATTCAAAAATGCACTGACATGACAGGTTGAAGCCTGGGAAAGAGTTCACCAATGCAAAACAGAGCGGAAGAAAGGTGACCGCAGTTATGAATGAGACAGAACGGGCCCGTCAAGTGGCTGGCAAACTCTGATAAGACATCAGACCACCCTGTGCATCATCACAGCAGGGGTTTATAGGAGAAAGAGGCTTTGTGTGACTTTACCCTGACCAGTGTTTACCAGTATTAGCTTTTCTCTGACCAGAGTATAAGCTGGTTGCCACAAAAGCTATTATTCTATGGCAAGCTGTTATTGTTTTTTTTAAACTAACCATTACGAGTAATATTGATTAACATTTACTTACTATAGGTTTAGCTGCTTAAAATTATGCATAATTTCTTATTATTACTACAGCAAGTACATGTAAAAAGGACAACAAAACAAAGTGCTGTCAGTAATCTAACCGTATCCTTCACTATTTCATTAGTAACTACTCGTTAGATGTTAGTACTTCATTATTGATTAATATCTATACAATTAGCCACTAGTACTTATTCAACAGATACTAGTCACTGCTGGAATAAAACACTAGTATCCAGTTGTGACTTGTAACTATTCCATTATTACTACGTTAGTTAAAGATGGCCAAAACTGAAATATTCACTTGAGACCAGTATGTAGCCTATTCCAATTGTTGCTAGCACTTCCAGTTTTAGTAAATAAAACAAAACGGTTACTTTATTTTAAGATCTCCTTGTTACATTATAGTCACATAAATAAGTACTGTGTAATATTAATAACCACATACACTTACTATATGGTTATGGTTTGTGGTTAGTCGCTTGTAATTAAGCATAATGTACAGTTACTGCTATAGTAACGTGTAATAGGCAAACTGTTAAATAAAGTGCTACCGAGAATATTAATAAGGTGTTTATTATCCAGTAGTTACAAGTAGGTATTCCAGCTTTAGTAGACTTTGCTTACTGGATACTAACGTTAGTACCTTCTCCACTGCTGAAGTTAAAAACCCCCGCTGAATGTGGGTGTGAGCCTGAGCCCTGCGCTCTCCTTACCGCGTCCGTAAAACTTTTTGCCGCTGGTCACGTCGAAGATCTTTGTATTGACTGCCATGAGGATGCGCGGGTTCTGCACGCCGTCGTACTCGCGCAGCTGCTGCAGGGTGAAGTCGCGTCTCCTCATCTTGGGAAGCGGCGAGGCCTCGCTGCCCCGGCCCGCGTCCGCGCCCGCCCTCCGCCACCACCGCGCGTAAACCACGTAACACGCGGCCAGCAGGAGCACCAGAACGCTGAGATCGAGCAGCATGCCGCTTATACCGAGACCGGCCCCCGGATCCAACTCCTCCGTCGTGCCCTGCCCGCCGCTAGTGTCCGCCGCTGCACTCCTACCGTCCCCATCGTCCGCCATACTGCAACGATAGCGGCTTCCCACCGCGCTCGCCCGCCCAGCTGCCACTCCGGGGCGCTTCTGATTGGCTGTCTGTCACCGGAACACCGCGTTGGCTCCTGGGATTTGTAGTTTTCTGTCAGAGTGGCGCCTACAAGACCACCGAGCGCATGCGACCAGACAAAGGCTTGAGATAATGAAAAGGCGCTAACTGTTATGATTATATTTATCAGTAGCCAACCGCGAAAAAATACTGAAATATGCAGAAAATCTGCTTTTTAATTAACCTGCAACTCAAAAGTATGTTCTACTATTATCTACCACACAGACATTAAACAATGAATGTGTATTAAATACAAAACTGAATAATATTAGATGATAAATATATATGACGTGATAAATATTATATGGCAGTCAATAACTTAAAAACTAATCATAATTCAATAAACAGTATCCCTTGTGAGCCCGTTATCTTCACAACTCAGAATTGACAATCTTTACTATTGCTAAAGTGCAAAATACGCATTCAAGTCCCTTGACCCCTAACAGTTTCTGTAGGCTATACATATCTGTTATTGTTGAAAAAGTGTCTATTGTTTACAATGTCTGAAATAATTGTTTATAGTGTAGACTAAATGTATTGTTTACAACAGAGCAGCTGCATTGCTCTCCGTGTGTTTATCATGTCTGTAAGAGGGTTCCTGTAGTCATGGTAAACCTGGAAATATTAGGGAATTTTAAGAGGGTCTTAAGGCCTGGAAAGTCATGAAAATATTTATAGTGAACACACATGCTTCAGGTTGTGCTCGGTTCTAAAATATTGACTATATTGTTTTTTCGTGAGTGCAAACTATTTATTGCTTTTTAAAAATCATTATCCAGGAATCCAAGTAACTGGAAAAGTAATGTAAATTGTTTTGTTCAAAATGTGGATCCCTGTGTAAGATCCAGAAAAACAACATTACACAGCACACGCTGACCTGACTTGAACTCAACAAGAAACACAATATATATTATTTTGGGGTTTTATAAACAGATTTTAATATATTTAAAGTTTTTTTTTTACATTTTACAATTTATGAGGAAAGAAAAAAAAATTAAACCGACATGCATACCAACACACAAGCGCACACAAACAAAAATACCACAATAAAATGAATTGATTGAAATTAGAGCTGCTTCTACAATTTTTTTTATGTACAGTTTTCATAAGCAAATATGATACAATCGGGACATCAATTCAGTGTCTGATTAATGATCATAAGTGAGAAATAAAACACTGATTTAATGTTATCAGCAAAGATCCAAGCCTCAAAATAAAAATATAATGCAAATAAAAGTATTCTCTGGGCCACCATGTTTGCAGTCATCTACACTCTCTCAGTAATATCAATAAAAAAAAAGATTATGATCAATTAAGCTTTCAAAAGAGAGTAAAACAATAAATTAACTCAAACTCAACTCCAATAGGATTCAAAATTTAAAAGGAAGAATAATTCCTCTCAAAAAGATAACATTTCTTAGAAACTTGAAGTACACAGATGTTTACCAGTTTAAGTCAAAATGATCAAAAGGTCAAAGATGTGTTCTCCTCTACTCTGCACCTAAACTGGAGATGTGGCATCTTTGAGATCACCACCTCCGCAATGTGAACGGCACAATATTCCTTTAAAAGCAGGAGCATCCTGTAGTTCCTGATGATGTTAACACTTTTTACAATCCCTCACCACTTATATCTACGTACTTCTCCGATATTCAGCTCAGACACTCAGCTAATCACAAAAGCATAAAGAACTTAGTATTCCATCACTGTCATATTTCCTACACAAGCTAAAAGAGCAAAAAATGCAATAAGCTATATAGTGTGTTATCTTGTGTCAACCTAAGTTCAAGTTTTTATTGTTTGATGAGCTTTTGTTTGAGTTTTTAAAATAACTGAACTAAATATGTGTACTGTGCATTTCGCACAAAATGAAAAACACTTAAAAACCAAGAGATTAATTATTTATGCTGACAGAGCTGTAAAATATATATATATTTTTTTTTTGTCGCTTTGGAAATGTAAGGCATTCGCAAAGGTAAAATTAATTTTAAAAGAGATAAAACTGCATTCGATGTAGGAATGCATCTTCTGTAAACTTTACAGCAAAACAAGTTCACCATGCGTACTTGATTCTGAAACTACTAACTGCGGGGAAAAAAACAAAAGAAAGAAAAAAACAAAAAGATCTTATGGAAGTTAACCTGTCCAGAAAAAGCACCTTGTACAACACAAAGATATTTCTGGTTTACTCTTCAATTTGTGAACGCAACGGTCTGACAGTTGGTTTGACTGGCTCACTTCCGAGGTTACGGTGTAAAACGTAAGCCTGCACCAGCACTCAAAATCTTTTCACAGCTCTAGAGTTAGAATCACGGTCAAATACTGTATATAGTGTAGCAAGGGCTTCATTTCTTTGGCTGTTGGGCATCTTTGTTTTTGCTCGTCGCCGCCTCTCCTTTACGAGCATCTGATGAGGTATTCTTCTTCACATTCTCTTTGGGTGGGGCTTTTGTAGACGGGTCATTAGCCGTGCTGCTTTTGGCGGTCAGAGGTGCTGCTTTCTGATTGGCTGTGACTGGCTTGGCTGATGGTTGATTGGTGGTTTTCCCTGTCGTTGGGGCAGCGGCTTGATCCGTTGTGGTTGTTTTTGCCATCACTCCAGCGGTTGGTTGATTGTCTGAAGACGTCTTGGCAACTGGGGTCTGTTTCGATGATGATGTCGAGTTGTGTCGCCTACGTTTCACCTCGTCTCCTGCGGAGGACGAGTGTGCTTTCCTCCTAACTCCTTCCTCTGCTATTGGTGGCTAAGAGAAGGGAAATTACATTTGGTTTAGAGTTTAACAGACTACTATTAACAGTTAGAAAGTCATTAAATGTATATTGACTAATCCTATTTATCCTATAAAGCCTACTGTATAATATCTGATACACAAATTTCTAAGGCCACTAAATTATCAACAAGATCAAAGCTGTGCTGAAAAACCTGTTGCACACAATCTACTACCTTCTGGTTTCTGATCAACAGTTTATACTATTGATAGATAAATATATATACATTTGTCTTTTTGCTTTAAAATCTTTATTGATTTTTTATAAAGTAAACCTAAGAATTATCTTTATATTGTTAGGAATATTTTACATTGTTAGATGTTTATATTGTATTATATTTCTTGTTAAAATGTGAGTATCAATTATGATATACATCAGGCATTTGAGGAACGCCAATAGGATTCAAAATTTAAAAGGAAGAATAATTCCTCTCAAAAAGATAACATTTCTTAGAAACTTGAAGTACACAGATGTTTACCAGTTTAAGTCAAAATGATCAAAAGGTCAAAGATGTGTTCTCCTCTACTCTGCACCTAAACTGGAGATGTGGCATCTTTGAGATCACCACCTCCGCAATGTGAACGGCACAATATTCCTTTAAAAGCAGGAGCATCCTGTAGTTCCTGATGATGTTAACACTTTTTACAATCCCTCACCACTTATATCTACGTACTTCTCCGATATTCAGCTCAGACACTCAGCTAATCACAAAAGCATAAAGAACTTAGTATTCCATCACTGTCATATTTCCTACACAAGCTAAAAGAGCAAAAAATGCAATAAGCTATATAGTGTGTTATCGTGTCACCCTCAGTTCAAGTTTTTTTTTGTTTGATGAGCTTTTTTTTACATTTTTAAAATAAATGAACTAAATATGTGTACTGTGCATTTCGCACAAAATGAAAAACACTTAAAAACCAAGAGATTAATTATTTATGCTGACAGAGCTGTAAAATATATATATATTTTTTTTTTGTCGCTTTGGAAATGTAAGGCATTCGCAAAGGTAAAATTAATTTTAAAAGAGATAAAACTGCATTCGATGTAGGAATGCATCTTCTGTAAACTTTACAGCAAAACAAGTTCACCATGCGTACTTGATTCTGAAACTACTAACTGCGGGGAAAAAAACAAAAGAAAGAAAAAAACAAAAAGATCTTATGGAAGTTAACCTGTCCAGAAAAAGCACCTTGTACAACACAAAGATATTTCTGGTTTACTCTTCAATTTGTGAACGCAACGGTCTGACAGTTGGTTTGACTGGCTCACTTCCGAGGTTACGGTGTAAAACGTAAGCCTGCACCAGCACTCAAAATCTTTTCACAGCTCTAGAGTTAGAATCACGGTCAAATACTGTATATAGTGTAGCAAGGGCTTCATTTCTTTGGCTGTTGGGCATCTTTGTTTTTGCTCGTCGCCGCCTCTCCTTTACGAGCATCTGATGAGGTATTCTTCTTCACATTCTCTTTGGGTGGGGCTTTTGTAGACGGGTCATTAGCCGTGCTGCTTTTGGCGGTCAGAGGTGCTGCTTTCTGATTGGCTGTGACTGGCTTGGCTGATGGTTGATTGGTGGTTTTCCCTGTCGTTGGGGCAGCGGCTTGATCCGTTGTGGTTGTTTTTGCCATCACTCCAGCGGTTGGTTGATTGTCTGAAGACGTCTTGGCAACTGGGGTCTGTTTCGATGATGATGTCGAGTTGTGTCGCCTACGTTTCACCTCGTCTCCTGCGGAGGACGAGTGTGCTTTCCTCCTAACTCCTTCCTCTGCTATTGGTGGCTAAGAGAAGGGAAATTACATTTGGTTTAGAGTTTAACAGACTACTATTAACAGTTAGAAAGTCATTAAATGTATATTGACTAATCCTATTTATCCTATAAAGCCTACTGTATAATATCTGATACACAAATTTCTAAGGCCACTAAATTATCAACAAGATCAAAGCTGTGCTGAAAAACCTGTTGCACACAATCTACTACCTTCTGGTTTCTGATCAACAGTTTATACTATTGATAGATAAATATATATACATTTGTCTTTTTGCTTTAAAATCTTTATTGATTTTTTATAAAGTAAACCTAAGAATTATCTTTATATTGTTAGGAATATTTTACATTGTTAGATGTTTATATTGTATTATATTTCTTGTTAAAATGTGAGTATCAATTATGATATACATCAGGCATTTGAGGAATATTTATTTGTACTTCTCTCATC